CTGGCCCAAAAGACCAAAAATCATATGTTCTCCCTCATGCGGACATTAGATCAAGGGCAAACACAACAAGGGGATTGGACTTTGATCACATGATAAAGCAAGAGCACACAAGGGAGGTATGAGGGTAGTTTTTTGGGTAAAAAACTAGATTGCATCTGTTGCTCTCAATGCAGAGAAACTAAAGCAAATACTTTAAAGCAACTGAGGCCAATAGGAGAAGGGGACCAGGAACTAGAGAAAAGGTTAGTTTGAGAAGAATTAACTTAGAAGTTTAAGTTAACATGCACAGGAAATCAATGTGAGTCAACTCCCTGTATAGCTATCCTTATCTCAACTAGCAAAAACCCTTGGTCCTTCCTATTACTGCTTATACTCTCTCTTCAACAAAATTAGAGATAAGGGCAGAATAGTTTCTGCCAGGTAGTGAGGGGTTGGGGGGGTAAGGGAGGGGGTGGGGGAAGGGGGGAGAAATGACCCAAACATTATATACACAGATGAATAAAATTAAAAAAATAAATAAAGGTAATGTAAGAAAGGCATAGTCTCAGAAGAGACAGAAATTATGCAGCAAACAGCTACAGGACAGTTTAAGGTCAAACTAGTGCAGAACTGAGACAGGATTATTTTCTGGGTGTGCGATGGGACTATGTGGGTCTGTTTCCAGGTAATTCAGACATTGCCCTTTTGTTACAGTTTCTCTTCCTCTGGTGATGTAGCCTGCATGGCTATCTGCTCCCACCAGTGCCCAGCAGCCATGGCCTTCTGCTTCCTGGAGACCCTGTGGTGGGAATTCACCGCTTCTTATGACACCACCTGCATTGGCTTAGCCTCCAGGCCATATGCTTTTCTTGAGTTTGGTTTGTAGCCCTCTTTCACATCTACTCTTCTCTCCTGTGGCTTTGTATGTGTAGCGCTTACAGTTTAGGTTTGGCTTTGACCATCTACGAAAACCATGGGAGAGGCAGCCATATATGTCTCTGAAGAACTGCCTTATACCATGAGGGTTTCCAGTGAATTGAGTGGTCTGGAAAGTCTCAAGGTTTCTCTGTGGCTTTTCTTGTCCCCAGAATCTGGGGGAAGTAGAGGAAGGGTGACCAGATATGTCATCCACCACAGGCCTCTGAAGCTGTAGTGGCTACTTTTGCCCTAGAAAGCAGTATTAAGCTGTTGAGATAAAGACCTCTACCCATCAGCTAACATATTTGGTACTTTAATAAAGTTTTGTACCCCTGCTCTAGAGTAACACTGCTCAAAGGGTATATTCTTCCATTGTGAAGTAAGTACAGAAAGTGAGAGGAAGTATTTAGCAATTCCTATGGTAATTCCATATTCCTCTGATATTTTTTATTGTATTTTATCAAAGTATCAGCTTGCCACAGTTTGGTCCTTGACTCAGAAGTCTGAGAAGCACTGCTATGGAAGTGCAGCCACAAAAGCCTTGGGGAAATTTGGGGGCTTTGGAATGCAGCACAGTTATCATAGTGTGTGCTTGGGTAGGGGCAGGTCTGGTTCATTTTGAGCTCCTAGGGTAGAAAAGTTAGGGGACACTCTCTGATCTCTGTGAACAGCTGCTGTCTCTGCAGTGGTCTTGAACAAGTTGCTGGCAGCATGTGTACAAATGGTCAGGTGCAGGACCAGCATCTGGAAATGCTGCCACTTAGGCTTTCTGGTTACTACTGCCCCAGCCCTCACATTCCCTCTCCTGGCCTCCTGGCTGGCCCATTAACACTCACTTTTGGTGTCACTTGAAGGTGCTGGGGAACTCCTTGCAATATAGGCCCCACCCTGGTAGGCTATGGTAGACCAGGAGCTCTGCCCCTAGGCCTTTCTGTGAGGCTTTAGAGAAACCACAGCCCTCAGCCCCACTTCATCCTGTGCAGAAGGCTTGCCTTTCCCAACAGACCACAGCTCAGTTGCCTCTTTTTTTCCCTCCATCCCTGCCAAGGCAGTGTGCTGATCTAAAAGGAGGCTTTCTCCTGCCCTGTTTGCTCATTACTGAGTGGGAGCAGAGTAAGTCAGACAAAGCATACCCATACTAGAACTGTGAGGATTTTGCTTTGCTGATATAAATGAAAGTCCACTTGAAAAACTTGTTAAACTTTGATAATAGGTTAATTTTAACCTATAACTGAAAGAATTAAAACTGAGGCCTTGCAAACATATACTAGTTTGCACAACATATTTGTATTCATTGTAATTCTTTTCAAATAACTGTCCCCATTTTCAAGCTTAGAGATATTCTGTGAATTGCCTAAGATTATATTGTCTGAAGTGACCAGCCCCTTTCTGCCTAAGTCCCTCATCACTGAAGTCCTGTGATGCACTATGGCCTCTCTGCACTCACATTTTAATTATTCTGCTTTAAAGAGATTGAACAGACTAGCGTGGATGTGTAGTAGTCAGTTTGCTTAGAAACATGAACTTCGTTTTGCATTTATTGTCTTCATTCTGATGAGAACGCTCAACGTGGGTTGCTCTTTCTTCCAGATAGCATCATTCAGAAAATGAAGTGGCATTTTAACCATGTAAGTTCCTCTCAAATAAACAGCAGCTTGGAAAAAGTTCAGGAGGAACTTGAGTTCCAGCCTCCAGTGGTTCTTACTCTGGAGGACATAGATGTGGCTAACGGGATGATGAACGGACACACCTCGGTGCACTTGGAGCCTGGTGAGTGGCCTGCTGGTCCTGATGCTAATGAAGATGAGGTGGTGTTATATACTTTGAATAGACATCCATTTTTAAAGTAGAAATGTGCTTTTGAGGGTTGGATATTATATTTTATTTGTTGGGAAAAACATGGGTGGATCCTGTTTCTAGAAGATTGCTATAAAAAAACTTGACTGTTTACAACAGTAGATTGGTTTGAGGTGATGCTATTCTTTTGATGACATTCAGGTGTTGAGAAGAATGACTTGGCAGGTTGTTTTCTTAATCAAGGTGAAGTCTACAAGTTTAGATGATAAAAATAAGTGTCATTCTTTTTGCTGGAGGTCACTCATTAGACTCTATGGATTTGTACATTATATATACTCTTGCCTCCCACATCACTTACTGAAACACTGCATGTCTGTAAGAAACCCCTGTGCTCCTTGTTGGAGGGAAGGCTGTGGGGATGAGAGTGTTCAGCCAGGGGCCAAAGCCAAGGCTTCCAGTGCTTTCGCTGTCTGGCTCTCTGTAAGTGCTGGGGAGTTCTCTCTGTCCCTGTGGACCTCATGTGATCACCAAGTTGTGGTGCTCTGTGACTTTGAGATGAGCACTGTTAGCCACTGAATGACTAGAGGATAAAGAAGCATGATTTTTTTTCCATTTCTTGTTTTAAAATTACATAAAATTAAACCAGTATTTTAATTAAAGTATATTGGTGTTAGAACTGAATCCTCTGAAAGACCTGTCTACACTATAACAGTCTAACTATTTTGTTTAACTTTTACACTATTTATCACTTGAATTTTAAAAGTTTTTAGCTTAACTTTGTGTTTTGGTTTAATCTGTTTCAACAATTAATTTCTAAATTGGTTCTCATGCCAATCGGTAAGTTATTCTAATTTATATTGGGAAAACACTTAATTTTTGTAGAAGAAAGACTGGGTAGTTGAACTCCAAGCTTCTCCCTTGCCATTTGTGAGCACAGGGATAATTTTGTTAATATGTTTTGTTTTCTAACATTTAGACAAGTGAAGCAAATCCAGAGAGTGTCAACTTGCCCATCTTTCTAGGACATTTTACTGTGGTTTGACTCATCTTATTGTCCTGAGGCTAGAGTCTTTACAGGTAGCATGTTCTGTTTTAACAGGAACTTTGAGTTGTTCAGTGGAATCTCTTAACACACTAACAATAGATGAAAGTTAGGTTGTAGCTATTGGTGTGTGTATGTATGTGTACATGTGTGTGCACAAATGTGTGCTCCCATGTACATGAGAAATGAAAGGACAAGAAAGGATAATTTAAAAAGAAAATAGTAGGAGAATGAATCGGACACTATTTTAACTGTGTGAACCAGAATCAGTTTCAACAGTAATCTTTAAATAGAGAATGAGTGTTCATTCTAAGTATAGTTCCAGAAACAGCTTAGAGCCTAAATAATTAATGTTTCCCTCCCCTCCCTCATTATTTTAGAATGAAAAATAATTTATTGGATGAGAATTGCTCTGGAAGTACATGTGACACTAAACATTGTTCTTATTAGGAAAGGAGGTGAGCATTTTACAAGCTGAAAGTCAAAGCATATAGTAGAAATGCTTTCAGAATTTAACAGCCACTTACAGATAAAGCCATTGTCCCCTCTGGCAGAATTTCTCAGCTGGAGCATCCCATCATTCCTTGTTGTGGGGCCATCCTGTGTATTGCAGGATGTTTAGCTGCATCCCTGGCCTTTACCTACTGGGTACCATTAGCACATGTCTTTTGGGGGGCAATCACAGAGGTCTCCAGCCTTTGCCCTCTCACCCCTGATTGAGAACTGCTTCAGAGAGGAAGTTAGGCACTTGGAACTTGTGCTTGCCTGGAAGAAGGCTGATTTCTGGAAGAAGCTCATCTTAGATTCCCAGATCCATTCTGTCCTTTGTTTCTTGCCTTACCTCCCCTCTAACTTCTGCTGCTATTTAAACTATATGTTTGTAATTCTGTATTTAACATTGCAAACCTACATTAGTGGAGGTCTAGTTAATGTCTTTGCCTGTATTTCTTTCATATAGATATTATTTTCATTAGGCCTTTTTTTTTTCAATTGTGAAGCTCCTAATTTCCGGATGGAGCCAGTGACAGCCCTGGGTATCCTTTCCCTTGTTCTCAACATCATGTGCGCTGCCTTGAACCTCATCCGTGGAGTTCACCTTGCAGAGCATTCCTTAGAGGTAACCCCTTTTTACAGCTTAATTTTTTTTTTTTTTGGTAGTACTAGGGTTTGAAGTCAGGGTTTCATACTTGCTTGGCAAGCACTTCAGGGCTTGAGCCATACTCCAGGCATATGTGTGTGTGTGTGTGTGTGTGTGTGTGTGTGTGTGTGTGTGTGTGTGTGTGTGCGC